AACCGTAGCGAACGATTTTGATTTCGTTCTCGACGCGCTTTCGGGAGAAACATTGCAGCGTTCCATCCAAACGGTCAAAAATGGAGGAACGATAATTACTATGCCATCGGGGGCTGATCTTGATGATCTAATTGCCAAAGCTGCAAAAAGGGACATCAAACTCTTCAATCAACTGGTCCAAAGCAACGGACAGGACATGGAACAGATTGCATCGTGGCTGGAAAGCGGCCAGTTGAAACCGGAAGTTTCCAAAGTTTTCGATTTTTCCGAAATGGCAAAAGCACATCAGGAAGTGGAAACCGGAAGGACACGCGGCAAAATTGTGGTAACTGTCTAAGCTTTTAAAATCCAGAAAACGGAATCCCAATCGAGAGGTTGGGATTTTTATTTCATCAATTTCCTGATTTCGGTGCAAATAAATTGGAAATCAGCACATTATTCCTATTTTTGGAAAAGCTGATGTAAACTACCGTTCACCTACAAACGAAATCAGCTTTTATTACCCTTCAAATCAACGAAAGTTACTCTCAAACAAGAATAGATATGCCGGCAACAAAAAACAATTCACTCAAAAAAGTACTCGGCCTTGGTTTTGGCATCGCCATTTTAATCGGCGGAACCATTGGTGCCGGAATCCTCAGAACACCGGGGAACATTGCTGGTTTATTAAACAATTACTGGCTGATCATCGGCTGCTGGATTGCTGGCGGAATCTATGTTTTGATGGGCTGCGGCGCATATTCGGAACTGGCTACTTCCATACCCAAAGCGGGCGGCTCTTACAATTACATCATGCGGGCTTTCGGAAGCTATGCGGGCTTTGTTTCGGGCTGGTTCGATTATATCACCAATGCAATTGCACCGGCAATTTTCTGCCTTGTAATTAGTGAATACATCATCATTTTATTTCCCGGATTGGATCATATGATGACCATAATCGCGATAGCTTTCTTAGTTGGGTTTACCTTGATCCAGGTCAGTGGTGTAAAAACGGGAAGCATTGTCCAGCAGGTTTCCAGTGTCGTGAAAGTACTTTGTTTTGTAGCACTTATTGTAGCCTGCTTTATGTATTCCGGAGTCGAAATTCCAAAAGCAAAACCCGATGCAACAGTTATGAATGCCGGTTTTGTGATCGCATTTTTTAAGTCGCTACAGATGGTTTTGGGAACTTATGACGGTTGGTATGCCGTATGTTTCTTTGCCGAAGAAGACGAAAATCCGTCAGAGAATATTCCAAAATCCTTGTTTACCGGAGCTCTTATTGTCATTGCGATTTAC